TGTCGAATAGAGGGGAACAATCACACTCCTCGAACTGCTGGCAATGCCCCTACTTATACAGCCCAAAATGCCATTAGCCTTCTTGGCAACAAGAGCACACTGTTGACTCATATCCAGCTTCTCGTCCACTGTGACCCCTAGGTCCTTTTCAGCAGAACTGCTGCCTAGCCATTCGGTCCCTAGTCTGTAGCAGTGCATGGGATTCTTCCGTCCTAAGTGCAGGACTCTGCACTTGTCCTTGTTGAACCTCATCAGGTTTTTTTTTGGCCCAATCCTCTAATTTGCTGATGTGATGAATGCTAAGGAAAACTCGAAGACAGACAAATATACAGATCAATCTCCTCTTTGACCTCTTTTGTATTAAGCCTTATTGCACCCATTACTGGCTGTATATTATAAGGATATCTATAGTACTCATCACTGTAACATCCAAGCACATCCCAAAGCTGTATTGCAAAGTCCTTAGTGGATTTCATAGAGTCTTTGGTTCTTCTCCCTTCCCCAGCATAAGAAACCTTGCTTTGAATATATCCCTACCTTTCCCTCTTCTTCTTTTTATTGCAGTGTAAGATGGACCCAGCATTTGGCCTTTTGTCTTTTTAATTACACTTACAGATGCTTAAATGTACTCTTTGGTATTCTTAGCAATATTTATTGATTTGATCTGTGACATCAATGTAGTAAACTTCTATTTCAATATTTCATGTCTCAGACATGCAGTTTTCAAGGATCACTCCGAAGCACAGGTCCCTGAAGGGAAATCTGTGACTCAGTAACAAACCATGAAAGCTGACTTGTCTATGTGGGCATTGCAGGAATTCCAGACATTTACAGATCTGTTTGGATGCCTATCTTTCTTCCTGCCTCCCTTTCTTCACAGCATCACCATAGTAACCTAAACATCACCAAAAGCCAAAGGGTCCCATCACCTTCCCACACTGCCATAACTAAAGTATAGAGCTAGGGGATCTGACATGATAAGGCTTTGGTTGATGTATTCCTTCTGGACTCATTTGTTTTCTCCTTTCCTCATCCATGATCATAAAACTCACCATTATCCTAAATTATGTGCCAGGCTTCAAGTTAGGGGTGGTGACGTTTTACACTCTCTGTCCCTTTCCATTTTGGAGGCTCAGAACATTAATACTTCCAATGTATGCATTAATTTATTTTTACAAAAACCCCATGACACCTACTAAGGTAACCCCTTGACCTGAAACCGCTGTTTAGCAATGCAACACTGAACAGACATCAAGCCTGCCTCAGAAACCATGGAGATGAACACAGTTAGGTGCCTAAATAGAGAGATATACACAGTATATATATTTTACAGATAATTCTACTCAGTAATTGCCTACAGAATGTTACAAAGTGAAGGATTTGCTTAGATTTCTCAAAGATAATAAGAACACCATGAAGTGTTTTTACTAACTGCCATTTTATGCATCTGGCTTTTGGGAAGAAGAGCTATCTTAGGCTAATACATTATGTCTGCTGTGTAAAATAAGCGAGAAAGCAGGGCCCACTTTCCCCAGGCATGATTTTTTTCAAAACTTTGGGGCAGGATGGTTTCATGAAGCGAACAACAGAATCTGATTGGAGCCCCATCAGAAATTCAGGAGATACTTAAATTACTACAGTTTCCAATTGAGATTGACGGTACCTGCCAAGATCGAAGCCTCAGTAGCAAAAGCTACAGCAAACTCTTTGATGACATTTGCATGGGCATCATTAATGAAGAAACCAAGGTAGCTGACAGACGAATGTAGTGATAGAGAAATGGCAGGTGGGAACAAATTTAAAAACCTGTCACCAACTTTCTTTAGGGCTTCATGCAAGAATTCCACTTTCCGATCTTCACACTAAAAGAAAACATATGGGGAGCATGCATTACAAACCATCAGTGGCACCTACTGCCTCATAAACAATTTCTACTGGACAGTATCCAAACTTTAAAACCACTACCATAGTTCGGTATTAGTTGGCACTCCGACTGGCAGTCACAGCAGAAAGAACAAGTACTGAATATTCACAGAGATTAAATTACTTTCTTATCCCTTGAAATATTCCATCTAGAACAGGGTTGAGATACATTGTGTGGAAGCTTGAAAAGGCTGCTGCCTATGCATACTTTCTGTGGTTAATTCAGACTTTTACATCTGACACCTTTCAAGAGCACTACATTCATTGCAAACTAATAAATGTTTATTTCCTATAAAATGTTATTAATGGCCAACTAGTACCATGGTGTTTGACATTTTGCTATGAAACTTGTTCTCTTTATTTTGTAGTCTCAGCAGCATTATAGAGTATGAAATTATAAAGAATATAATTCGTTTGTCCAACTGCTCCATCACTGCACTTTCCATATTGCTTCAATAGATCTCTGACAAAGCGAATGGCAAAGTGCTGCAAGGATGCAAACGTGCAACTTCGCCAGCAATGCAAGGTCTCTAAAACTTTTACAGATCAGTATAGTTTTAGTGATACCCATACCGTTCTTCCACTGAAGTGTACACATTGATCCTTTAGGGCGGAGGCAGCACCTCATTATGCTGTTTAAGACTCATTTTGTAGAGAATATCTCGATATTCATAGGGCGTATTATTTAGATTATTTTATCTTTAGATTCAGAAAACACCCTGATCACAGGTCAAAATTTTAAAAGTGCCTAAGTTATTTAGGAAGCTAAGTTTCAGTTTCAAAACTGACTTAGGTACTTAGGATCTTAAGTCCCATTGATTTTCAGTTAGGCTTTGTCTACACTGGAACTTCGTCGGCAAAACTTTTGCCATTCAGGGGTGTTAAAAAAACAACCCTGAATGACAAAAGTTTTATTGACAAAAAGTGCCGATCTGAACAGAGCTTTATCGGCAGGAGCGCTCTCCTGCCAACAAAGCTGCTGCTGCTCGTCGGGAGTGGAATTTTTTTGTCGGCAGGAGAGAGCTCTCCTGCCGACAAACAGCAGCTACACTGCGTGCCTTTTAGCGGCTTGGCTGTAGCAGCGCAGCTGTGTCACTAAAAGCTGTGTAGTGTAGACATAACCTTAGACTTAGGCTACTAACTGCCAAAGGACAAGATACATCATAGATAATGTAGACATTGTAGACAACTAGTGTAGACACACTGAATTATATTGAAACAGAAAACAGTTGACTGTGTGTATGTAATTACTGCGACTATCTAATATGCAGTAGGTAGTGCACAAAAATTCAGTGCAAAATTACTCCCCTGTGTAGTTTAGGCATTACAAAGATATTTTGGTGAATTTCCTGCTTAGGAGCTTTTGAAAATCCCCCTGCATACCTATCTGCGTCTGTAGGCACCTAAATATGTAAATCTGTTTCTAAAGTACTTTTGAAAATAGAATTTAGGCTCCTAAGTCACTTACACACTTTTTAAGTTTTTACTCCATGGCAATACCAAGGTATAGAATGTGAGCTACGATGGGCAGGAGAGCAAATGCAGCACCAGGCAAAGCAGGGGAAAAAAGCAAAGAGAACCAACCTTTTTTCTATAGCTATTTTTAGTATGTGGAACTTTCTCAACAGTGAACTGAGAGCAACCACTGTTCTTCCAGTCAGCATCCAAAAGCAGTGAGAAATGAATGCACAGAGGATGTTAAGTAGATGATATGTCTGAGGGTTTGCTTTTTTGTGCACACTGCATATGCAACTGCTTGCCTAATTTGCATGATCAGAAGGCAAAAAAAGATAGTACTGACCACTTGCACATGCAAATACATGATTCGCAAACACAGCCATGTTAGCTGCATGTACAGATTAGGTATGCAGTTGCACTGACATATTCATACATAGAGTTTAAATGATCAGACCTCAAAAAAGCCTAAATCCAGACCCTCTGCTCTCATGAGATTTAAAAATCTCCCTCTAATCCCTACTTCCAGTCCATAACATTTGTTGGCCTGATCATTCCTCAATATCCACCATCCGAATATTTTTATTGATATTTGTAAATGTAGAGGGGAATAAATGCAATTACCTTAGCCTGTGTCCCAGCATACTCTGTGATGGGATACTGTTGCTGGATTTTCAAAACATGGCATTTATTTGAACACACTGACCTTTGCATATTGAATCCCTCATCCATATAATTTTTGCATACTATCATTTGTGCTCCTGCTTGCACATAGAAAACAATCACACCTGAGTTTTTACAATTATGCAAGGAATTATTAGTGCAAAATAATTGTAAGAGCAAGTGAAAATACATGATCAAGAGAGTCCAGATTTCAATCTGAATTTTACATTAGCATGGATTTTTGTGCTCAATGGAATTGTTAAAGGCTTTCTTACCGTAAAGAAATCACAAAGAGTTATGTGTGGGAAAATCTCATGGGCTTTGTTTCTTGCACATTGGTTCTTGCTCTCGTTCCAAAATTCCTGCAGTTTGTCATGCAAGGGTCCAGTTGGGCATAAATAGAGAGCATATTCCTGAGGGATTGGATCATCCAAAGAAGGATCATTACAATGAGAGTGCAACCTGAAATTGAGAGTGCATCGCACAGGGTAAGTTAAGGCACAATTGTGTACACATTCCTCCATCGCTCTGGTGAAGACATCCACAATAAAAGCAGAGAAAGAAAAACAAACAGTTGCTAGCAGAAACTCATAATGAAATAAGAACAGATTAAAACTAGAGCTGGTCAAAAAATTTCCCCTTGTGATATTTATTGATAGGATGAAGTCTTTTGGTTTTTAAATGAAAATTTTCTTTTTTTTTTTGAAATTTGAAAATGAAAACATAATTTTCAGTATTTGAAAACAGAAAACTTGTGGTATTGTTTGTTTGATTTTCTCCCACATTTTCTATTTTGCCATTGGAAAAGGGAGGAAAAGGGGCAGGGGGAGGAAACCACCAAAAAATGGGGGGGGGGGGAAATTGAGAGGTAATTTTGCAAATATAGGTTTAAAAAAATCCTTCACAAAACAATTGCATTTTTATTCATCTCTAGTTAAAACAACAACAACAACAACAAAACACCCCCACCAAAAAAAACAAACAAAAAAGAAAACACATCAACTGAAATTAATAAGTCATGCTCCAATCTGTAACAAGTCATTTTGCTTTGGGAATTGCAGCATGATCTGCCACTGATTTTTTCAATTCACAGCATGAAATAATTTCGGATGGAGCTTGTTTTGTAGCCTATGTTGAACTGGATATGTGCTGGGATGAACATGCAATCCACCACTTGATCACCACTCTGGATGTCAGAAGTACATGCCACATATCCGCATGTTTTGCAACACATGGACCCAGATCCAAAAAATCCAGAACCACCTTCCTTGTAATATGAACTCTAATTAAAAGTCATAACTTGTGTCATCTCAGCCTTGCTGGAAACACAACAAAGAGGAATATACAATAATGCATATTTCAATTGTGCAATGTTCTCATTCTAAGCCTTTATATGTGGATGATTAACTGTATTTGCCTTAAATCGCCCCATTTGGAGCAACATCAGTTGCTTCGTAGGAGGCACTACTGCTGCTGGGTGCTCTTTTATATCTCTTCTGTGTCTCACAAATATCAGCAGAGAGCGTGGGTCTGAGATTTGACTCAGGTCTGGTCTACATTTAAAAATTAGATCGACCTAGCTAGTGTCACTCAGGGTTGTGAAAAATTTTGTGGCCTGAATGCTGTAGCTGGGTCAAACTAATCCCTTGTGTGGTCGACAGAAGGATTCTTCTGTCAATGTAACTACTGTCTCTCAGAGACGTGGAATAACTACACCAATGGAAAACCCCCTTTCCATTAACGTAGGAAGCATCTACACTACGACTCTCCAGTGGCACATCCGCAGTGTTGGAGCTGTGCCGCTGAAGAGGTATAGTGTAGACATACCCTTAGATCTGGGATTTAAATTGCAAAATAAATCAGCATCAGCAACATCTCCATACTCCATCATCAGTGTCTCAGGCTGGAGAACAAATTCAGATGACCCAAGAGTAGCAATTGACAGTAGCAATGGTCATGCCTATCCTGGATTCTTATTTTTTAAAACCGCAAACTCTTAGCCATTCAGCTTGATTTTATAGCCTTTTCCCACCTGGAGTTGTGTTCCCTACAGTCAATGCCTTTTAACTTAACATGTTCCAAATTCCTTTACAATTGTAATCTCTCGGATCTTTAACACCTCCTTTTCTACTTTTGCTTCATGGGCTGAGCATCTAAATATTCCTCTCTGATCTATAGTCATCATCCAGTTCTGTGAGAGGGAGAGGTTTTTGTGCATAAGTGGAGGTGTGAGAAATTGGAGACATTTATTACATTATGATTCCTCACAATCCTCCCTTCTTTGACTATGTCAAAATTAGGTGATCATGACAGTATCCATCCCCCACACCCACATGTTCTCTCACGTCCCATAAAATAGAACCATCATCTAGGAAGCAGTAACTCTGCTCTTACTTTACTTTGCACTCTGTGCAAATAATTTTATGCCTACAAGAAACATGATCGAATAAAACTATTTCCATAAAGCAAAATAAAGATGAGCTCAGATTTGATTTCATTTTTACCATGAAGTCTGCTAAATCCAAATCCAGTGGGGAAACAGCCCATAAGCAACTACATTTCATTCGGTTTCATGTGAAAGTACTCCTGGGGGAACTGTAAATTATTTCATTCTTACCACTTTGAAGCCTCGTCTGCTGTCTTGTGTCCAGTAGCAGCCAAAGCTTTTTGCCTAAGGAAAATAAAGTGGATTCACCAGGAGAAAAGAATAGATGCAGCAAATTCTGAATAGATGCAGATAGACAGCAAATTCTCCTTTGAGTTCTGGAAACTTTTCCTTAATACGCTGTATAAGCATGATTTGTACCGTATATGGGCCCACATTATTATTAGAGATGGGGCCAAACAAAATCCCAGCTCCAAACTCTATAGTGGGCAGAACCAAAACCTTAGATCCACACACTCTTATACTTGGGATCTGGAAATCTGGATCCAAATTTTCCCAAAGGAGTCAGTGTTTTGTTTCTGCCCATTAGAGAGACAGATCTGAGCCACAAGTTCAGGGATTTTGGTTCAGGTCGATCTCTAATATGTAATTACTGTTCTATGGAACCAAATTATACCCAAATTCAGTATCTTTTTCTATCAGGGCAGTATGTTCCTGCACATACACATCTTTGAGACCAAGTGTTGAGTTTCTTGGGGTGGGGGAGGTGGGAATAAGTCCAGCAGAGGAACTGGACATTTCAGCCTGGCCACAATTCTAAAACTCACTATGACTCATGTGTTTCTTTTGCTACACCCAAGAGACAATATTTGCTACACTTGAAACAAGATTTTCTGCCTGTTGGGGTCTTGAAGCCAAATTTGTAACATTTAATTCCCTTCTGTTCAAGTTCTTATATTGCATCCAGCCCTGTGATATCTGTGCTCCTTCCAGCAGCGCATAAAACAGTGTGACTGGTTTCATGTACTTTTTTCTGTCTTCCTCGCCCCAGGGAGAAAATTGTATGTGGATTTGTAAATAAATAATTAAACGTATTACTTACATACGACGTGCTGTGTCCTTTTATTACTGAAGGCTCAACATGGCCAAAATACAACTCTTAATCTTTCCCCCCAAGCCCTCCCCGCTACTTTCTTTCTTGAGCACGGTGGACACCACCACAATCCTTCCTGTCACTCAGGCCAGTAAACTGGGTGTCAACTTTGAATGACTCAGACCTGTCTCTAGGACCTTATGTCCTAACTATGTGCAAATCTTGCTGATTTTTTCTGCACAACATCTCTAAGGTATGGCCTTTCTCATCCATCCTCACCGCTAACACTCTCGTCCAGGCTCTCATCATCTCGTGTCTTGATTACTGCAACATCCTTCTCTCTGGCCTTGACAAATGCAGCCTTACCCACTCATATCCATTCAGAATGCTGCTGTTAAGATCATTGGTTGCTTTGACCATGTCACCCCTCTCTTTGCCTCCCTCCACTGGCTCCCCTTTCTAGCATCACGCATAAGCAGCTTGTTTTCACTTCCAAGGCCCTTCACCAGCTATCCCTACCCTACCTATCGTCTCCCATACGCTATCAAGAGGTCGACTCCTGCCTTCTCTTTGCCAATTCCAGCCTCCGTCAATTTTCAAACGAGCTTTTGTTCTTTCTCCCATGCAACCTCCAACTCTTGGGAATGCTCCCGGTCAACATCTACAAAGCCAAATCATTGTTCTCCTTCATTTTCCTCCTTAAAACTATCCTTTGCCATTAGGCTTATAAAAAATTGACAAATGGCTAGGCAGCTGGGGTGCTGAGACCTCTGCCTATCATACCAAATCAGCATTGTCTCATTGTTTCCTTGTGCCAGTCTGTATCTACCAGTTGTCTCAGCTCATATTAGGACTGTAAGCTTATTGAGGCAGTGACTGGGGTTTTTTTGTGTTTGTATAGCACCATGCATGGTGGCATCCTGGCTTATGGCTTCCACAAAGCAAATAATAGGCAATAAGGCAATTTAATGCAAAAATGGATCCTATGTCTACACATCTCTCTCAAACAAAAAGCAGAAGAGTTCTTACATATATATATTTTAAATTGCTGTTTTAGAAGAAGAATAAACTACCAGATCCCTGTCTGGAAATGCTAATAACAATTAGTACTGTATAAGCCTGGACTTGGGGGTTAATGTTTTGCTGAGATTCTGCCTGATTCCCATTTACACTAATGCACCTTTAAACTGCTCAGATGTAAAGGGGCCTTAGGGTAAAAGAGATTATGGCACTGCAGCTCTGAATCGTGTAAGATCAGGCTATCTTATGATATTTCCAACACAACCTGGTTTTGGCCAGGCCAGGAATGCTGAATGGCTGAAATCAGGAACTGAAAACACATGCAAAAGTTTTAAAAATAATAACCAAAGTTTCTAAGCTGAGAAAGTTGTTCAGTTCAAATTTTAGGCAAACATCCAGGCTACTTTTTAAATTTTATCCAAACTTGCTCAGCACTTTGACTATTTAGCTAACTGTTTCCTTTACACTAGAAAGCACAAATACACTCCATAGGTAGCACCACTGTGCTTTAAAGAAGATTTGAAGAATTTAGACCTCAGAGCCAAAAATTTTCAAAACTGGCCACTCATTTGGGGTGTCTCAGTTTTGGGATGCCTGATGGGAGAGACCGTGAGCCAGATTTTCGGAAGAGCTGTGTCCCCAAAATTTCAATTGACATTAATGGGAGCAACGGGAACTCAGTACCTCTGAAGTCAGGCCCAAGGTGTCTAAAGTTGGCACCCAAAAATAGAGGGCTCTTTAGAAAATTAATTCAACACTTTTGATACTGAACCTTTTCAGACATAGTTGCTTCACTGGTTGGTTTTATTTTCAATAAGAAGCCAACATATATATATATATGGTTATGAAGATGTATTGTAGTCAGTTTTAAATTCACATTGATGGATTCTTATTTCTACTCTCTCTCTCTCTCTCTCTCTCTCTCTCTCACACACACACACATGTTAAGAATTTGCAGGAAAGGGAGTAAATTTTTGAAGGATGAGATTTTCAAAGGCACATAGGAAAATTAAACTGCCCAACTGCCACTGAGTTGAGGCCCTAGATTCCCCCATGTCCCTTTGAAAATCTCACATAAAATGTGCTTATCTCATCTGAAGATGTTTAGGAAACAAGTGACCTTAATACTGCATTTTTCTTTAATGCAGAGTCAGATTCTGCCCCCAGTTACACTGCTCCCTCACAGGGGTTGCCAGTACAACTGAGAACAGCATTTGGCGCTTTCGTATTTTTCATGGAGATACTATTTTCCCCTCTCCCCTTTGGCATGTAATTTTTTAACATGATCCTAAACTGAGAAAAATTCTTTATGGAATAAAAAGAGTAAAAATGACAGTTGTGCTGAATAGTTTTATATGATATTTATAAACAGGAAAATGATGTTTTGTGAAAAGTAAACCCAGTCTCTAATGTCCTACATGTGGTAAGATGCCTTTGCTGTGTCGTAGAAGCCAGCATAGGCTAAAAGGTGTCTTTAAACTTAACTGTGTTACAGCAAATTTGATGAATGAAAAATGTGACTTGTTTCTGGTAATACTGTGGGAGATAACTGAGCACGTCAAGTGTTTAACAAGTTTTACAATCTCTCAACCCAAAAGTGGATAGTTTTTAGATTTAGATATTAAAAATGGATGCACAGTAGGTTCTTTTTAGGATAAAATCAATACGCCACAAAATGCTATAAATTAAGCCCAAAACATGATATCTTATCCACATACAGAAACATCTGTGTCAAGCAGTTGTCTGTTTCCTCTGTTAAAAATGCAAGCTGTCTATGTTCAAGTTTTTATGAGAAAATTCTTTTCATATATTGAGGTAACTTAAAAATACTACTCACGCTATATGTGCAGGGAATCCCATAGATAAGAGGGATTCCAGTAAAGCGCAGGTGCTTCTGTTTTTGACTTTGTTCAAGACCTTCGAATATAGCTGTGTTTCAGCCACTGCCATCTCTTCCACTCCTCCTGTGAATGTATGTTCAGTACAGGCAGAAATTAGTAGAGAGAGACAGAGAGAGAGAGGCTGCTAAGATAAAAAACCTCAAACCCCTTGTGATCTTTTTGACAAAAGCTAATATCCTGTTTTCATAGCATGTTAGTCTTTGCACTTTTACTTTAGGGTGGTTGAAAGGCAAGAAATATATGCAGTCTTTGTCTGCCTGCCATAGACTGTAGCAAAATAAGACTAACCTAGTATATGTCCACAGTATAGCACAATGCGTAGTCAGTGCAAATTTGCTAATTGCAGGGAACTGAATCTCTCACTTTCAGATCATTTTAAATGCACCCCAAGGCAGTAATGAGTCAGTGAGCATGAGCTGTTGTCATGCATTGGTTGTTCAGTGGCATACGTGAAATCAGTTGGTGGTCTGAACCCGGTTCTTAGTGGACACATTTCCTTCTCACAGAGCCAGCACCACAACTGGGCCCCTTGTTGGCATCCCCATCAAAGAGGCTAAGAACTGTATGAGCATGGAGGCTGAAATATGATTTCTCCTTTAAAGGTGGCTCCTCCAGGTCAGGTTCAAAGCACATAGGTTAAGCAGTATGGGAAAAGTTGTACTTCCAGCTTGTGCTGCTCTTGGCAATAAAGCACTAAGACCAATGATATACTGGATAAACTAAAGCATTCCCTTGATGACCCAGCAGCAGGGAGAGACAGGATGTCAGATTCTCCAGTTTACACACTACAAAGTGAGTTTAAAATGGCCAGCGATTGCCCAGAAAAATTCCCCATGTGAGGGGAATCTCCACTGAATCTCCCCTGCCTCTGTGCTGCTATGTCCCTCCTGGCACAAGGGGTGGGGGGCAGGGTGTATATCAGGGGCTGGAAGAGGAAAAGGGTTATCAAGGAACAGGAGAGGGCATGGTAAAGCAAACCTTTGCTATACCTGATTCTCCACTGCTGTAAGGTTCCTGAGGGCCCTTATGTCAGTTGAAGATGCCTCCACACCTGACCCTGGAAATTTTAACTTACCCCAGGTCCTAGTGGCTGAGAATCAGGGAGTTGTGACTAGTTCCCTAACAGCCTCCCCTCAGGCATAGTGGGGAATTAAACCCAGGTCTTCCGAAGCTGAGCTCAGGGCAGCCGAGGATCAAACCCATGATCTTGCTCAGTACGCTAGGAAAAAAGAGAAATATTAGTCATTTCCATGTGTAGACAAACCAATTCTGCTTTCACTCCTGCCTCTAAGTGAACCCAGACTGAACCTTTTTGATCAGTTTTCTTTCTTTTTTTCTCATTTTTTTAAATGCCTCTGCTTCCTAATTCCTGCAATGATCAGAAGCAGAACTGCCAAAATAAGGTAATAAAAGCTGTTCTTGTCACAAAGCTGTCCTGGCTAAGAGGAGAAAGTATCAGAAATATTGTACAACCTCCTTTTCTTGTAAGAGTTCAACTCTGATCTTGCAGAGCCAAGTTTGAATAAGATTCCTCTGAAACTTCTGAGATTCTCCCATCATTAGTAAATGCCACAAACTACTCTAAAATATTAGCACTCTCATTGGGGAAGCCACAGTCTCTCAGTAGCCCTGTTTTCACTTATACATACCAGCAGGGCTCTTTGGCTCGCTTCACAACCTCCTGTCCCCCCCCTCAAAAAAAAAAAAGACCAAAACAAGATCATGACTATACTGTTATTCTGACCAGGATTTTTCATTTCAGCTGCTCCATGAGCTTCTGAGTTTAGAGCAGGTGGAATTTTCCCATTGGCTCAAGTGCACAATTTTCAGAATTATGGAAGTGGAATTCTTTCATAGTTAAAATGCAGATCTATCCTGGGAACTATCTTTTGGTTTGCTCTTTGCCTCATGCCTGGTGGGTGCATTTAGCAACAAGCACACCAAATTCACAAAGAGCAGTGCAACCAGGTAAAGGGCCTGGTTTGCCAAACAGACTTGGTTTGAGGGGCTCATTCACCAGAGCCCAGAATTCTGGCATTTGCTTTTCTCCAGCCACTTTATTTAGTATAAATGGAACAAGCAAGCATACCTGTGACTTAATCTTTGGAGAGTTTCCTCTCAGACAGGTTCATGAAAAGGTTTACAAATACCACAATATTACCTTACCTGATTACACTGATTAAAAGGGTTGCTGAGTTTTTGCCTTCCTGGTATCCATAGCTATTTCATCCTAGGCTACCTGATATCTACGACCAGGTTGAATTACACAGACTACAGTAATAATGTCATTTGCTACAGTGGTTGAGCCGGCAATTCTGGGTGGTTTGATGAAAATATTTCCTGAGTGGACTGGTTTAATAACAGCTAGATTTCCCTCTGGCTTATTACTATAATGAAAAGAGAACATATTTTTGTTTTTAACCATGACGTCTCAAGAAGAGGTGAGTAACACCCTAGGCCAGAGTAAATAATGATTCTAACATTTTGTAGCTGTATGTCATGCATCTTAATGCTGTTTTATTTCCAGAGCACAACACATTTAGCAATGAAGGTATTCTTTAGGTTCAGAAATCATTTGCAGAAGGATGCTGTTTCCTTATTTCTGCCCTAAAAACAGCAGTTCATATAATGCCTCTTGACATTTTTAGTTACCAGGACTGTCTAGTATATCTGATAAAATAAGAGAAAAGTTGTATTTTGATAGGTAATGCTTGCTAGATGGTGAAAAGATAGTCTATGTTCCCTAAAAGTTGGTGGTAAAGATTAATTATACTTTGTCTAAGGCAAAAATTTACTGGGCCTGATATTGTGGATTTACAGTACACTAGCACCTCTGACTTTAATGCATTTACTCCTGATTTACACCAGTGTGAGTGCAGAATCAGACCCACTATGTCATTGATTATACAGAGCCTACCGGACCAGATACCGAAGTTTTCTGTATCCTATCTGTATCCTATACCTTCATATTAATTTTAAAACATAAGGTTTATTTACACAGAATTACATTTTAATTTCAGTTTGTGATCTGTATACAACACTCAAAGGTTCTTCAGCATAAGCTAAATGGGAAGTCCGACAGATCAGAGCAGGCTTTGCACAGTTCGTAACTTGTACTTTCCTTTACAGTACTTACAGTAGCAATTAAAAAGCACCCTGTGGAAAATGCTTTGACATTTAAAGAAGGAACTTGTCAGAATTTCTTGATGTGGTGAATGAATTACTCTAAATAACTGTGGTTATAAGCAGACTCAAGCAACATTTTAGTGTCGGTAAATTGCTGGTCAATGCTTGCTAATTAGCGGCCCATTTGTGCAAGTTGCTGAGTGCCCCGACTCTCACTGAAGTCAATGGGAATTGCAGGAGCTCCTCGGTAACACATAGGAGGTGCTCAGCATCTTGCAGGATGAGGCCATATTTAGGCAAACAGAGAGCAGGCCTGAAAGCTGTCCCTGGATTTGCTTTGTATCAGCTGTTCATTCCAAAAGTATGCGCAAAGCAGGGCCCCTCAACAAAAAAAATCATCACCAGTAGAAAGGCACTGGGGGTGGTATGAGGAGAAAGAGCAGTTGGTTTTAAAAGTGACTTCTGTTCTTTGTTGGTCCAGGTACTGGAGACTAATCCCAATACTGGAAATCCTGAAATCACCTCTGATACTGAAGACAAATTGCCAGTAGCTGAAGTTCATTTTTTCTACAAAAGATTTTTCAGCATACAACAAGCAAAAGTAGATCCCAGTGCAAATGGACTTGGTAGGGATTCTACATACTTTTGTAATATGTACAGTCAGGGGTAATCAATGATTTTTTGTCATCATCCAAATTTATTGGTGAAGGTCCAGACTCCAGAGAAAAAAATAATAACAATGATAATAAGTAAATAAAAAGATTTCAGGGTCCTTTCAATGGCATCTGGCTGTTCAGATTTGGCCTGTGGTCTGCCTATTGACTACTCCTGGTTTATGTAGTAATTTAGCCTTGCAAAACAATACTTACACAAACAGGGTAAATTTTTTTTTATTGGTGAGAAAGTAGCACTTATTTTTTTCACTAGCTTCTCAGGGTGAGAGTGGGTGAGGACATTTTTTGCCTGGGCGGATATGTTTCCATGACACTTTTGCAAGGCTGCATTATTCATAAAGTTTCATCCAGGTTGTAGCTTATTTGTTTCTTACTTCAGATATGACACAATTCTGAATGTTTTATATGAAACCTTCCAAGTCTGGAAATCCATATCATTAGAAAAAGGCAATGCAGCAGAGTAGGTCACGGATAGTACAGTATGCATTTTGGTTACATTCTACAGGCCTGATCTTGTTCTCATTGAAACCAGTGACAAAACACACATTAACTTCAATGGGAGCAGAATCAGACCTAAGGTCATAGGTAAAGCAATATTAATTTATGCATAGACTGTTTATGACAGCTCTGCAAAATATTCATTATGACACCAGACGCCAGATAAAATGTACCTGATTTCACATTTTGTTTGTCTAAGAGATTCGCTCAATTTCTACTGAACAGGTTTGAGTGAAATTGGATTTGTTTGTGATTTTACATGAAACTGGATGAAACTCAGCAGTTTTGTCTGAGCTTCTAGTTTCTGCAAATCCAAAATTCAAAGGTAAGTTTAGGGGTAGGGTGGGCACAGCTGCATGAATCAAAACTGAAGACCTCCTGTATATGTAAATGGCACCTTTCTATTATTTACACTTGCTTTGGCCTTTGTATGTCAAACCAGAATAATTATATATATATATATATTTTACACAAAGCCATCCATTATGTTCAGTGGAAACTGTTGCCTCTCTTGTTGATCCATTGCTATGGATTCCTGTTCTTTAATCCATTTCACAGGAATAGGCTGGGCCTCTATTCCTGCCTCTACCACTGATTTGCTGTGTGACTTTCACCAAGTCAATAAGGCTCAAATTTGCAAAAAATCGCTTCTAATTTTGGGTGCAGTTTTCTACATCTACATTTCTAACTCTTTTGCTCCAATTAGCCTTGCTTCAAAAACCAAAAAATTAGAGCTCTATTCTTGCCCTGAACTTTCGCTTTCTTCTGCCATCTCCTTTATATGTGGGCCT